GAAATTCATCGTTACGAGCCGCCCATACCACAGAATCGAGATAGAACTTAGCTCACCCGAAACGACGATCCGCTTGAAAGGGGAGGACGAACTCGACGCCATTACTTCTGATGTTACTCGTGTCATAGACGAGGGAATTAAGAGCCTAGAGTCATACTGGGGACGGCCTGGAGGGCTGGAATATTTGCGAAATCTCTTAGAATGTTCGGCCGATCGGACATTCCTATGGGTTTCTCTGATTCTCGGGATTTTGAGGAATAGTGTGGACGACTCACCGGAAGTGCTTACTACAATTGTCTCCGCTGCTCCGCGCGATCTAGCAGAGTTGTACACCAAGATCCTCGATAAAAGCCCGCACCCCGAGAGCGCCCGACGAATCCTGAATATAGTTGTAGCTGCTGCGAGGCCTCTTACACTTCGAGAAATGAACACCGCATTCAGAATCAGGCCGGAGCACAGCTCGGTTAAGGACCTCGGCGATCTTGGTAGTGGAATGGAAAGGACAGTGAAAAATTTGTGTGGGCTTTTCGTGCGAGTTATCGATTCGAAGATCTACCTGGTTCACCAAACTGCAAGGGAGTTCTTGATTCGCGAATCATCAGCTGGCCAGGGGAACTGGCAGCACACACTGTGTCTCGAGGACTCTAATTTCATCATGGCTAACATTTGTTTCTCCTATCTTTCTCTAACGGAGTTTGAAAACGACCCTTTGTCCGGGAATACTTACGGCATGGATTGGCCGTTTCATCGGCGCGAGGTTGATGATTATCTGGAGAAATATGCTTTTCTCGAGTACGCTGCGAGTCACTGGGCGGACCACTTTCGCGATTCGCAGGATCGGCAGGTGGAGTTATTCGAGTTGACAAGAGTGATTTGTGAAGCTGGGTCTAAACGATCCCAAACATGGTTTAAGGTTTACTGGGTTAACTCCCGCCACGGGTATGTATGCCCCACAGATTCGACACATTTGATGATAGCATCGTGGCTGGGGCAAGGGAGGGTAGTGGAGCGACTACTGGAGGAAGGGGGAGATATCAATGCTCGATCGGAGGTATATGGCACCGCATTGAATATAGCCGCTATCCGGATAAACGAGAATATTACCAAAAAGCTGCTGGAAAGGAATGTCAAAGCATACCTCGATAAGAAGGAGTATAACATTTTGCAAGTAAAGAGACCTTTGTTTGAAGTAACCAAGACATGACTAACAACGAATTAACATTATTTTGTAGACGGTATGTTAGTTTGAAATCATCGGGGAGCTTGAGCTAACCCGCAACTGTATTTTTGCTTTTCAGAAGGTAAGTAGAAGCTCTGGGTCACGTCTACTCCGTCTTGTCATCTTTCTGATGCAGGGGCCCGGGAAACTACAGAGGGTAAGTGAACGGCAATAGGGATCTTGGGCAATCGTCATGACTAACCCTGGGATGACCCATGAATGTAGAGTGTAAGTCAGGGTTTGAATTCTAGTGGTAGTTGAGTAAGGTTTGCTGATTAATGGGGAGATACAGGAGGTATGTGGACAGGGAGATAGATAGCTCAGACGAAAAGGCGAAAGCTAATTGCAGGGGTGCGGGTTGGTGCAGCTTGTACGTAACTGATTAAGAGTACTTGAGGTATGAGGAAATTGCTGACTTAGAGTTCGTTGAGTGTTATAGAGGGCAAGCAAACAGGATCACCCAAGGGTCTGGGACTAGGCAATTGCTGACCTCTAGCTCGCTGAGCGTTGTAGGAGGTAAGGGCACAGGATCAACCACAGTTGCGCAGCGAGGAAATTGTTGACCATTCGCTCACGGAGTGTTATAGTTGGTAAGTGCACAGGATCAACGACGGTTGTGGGATGAGGTGATTGCTGACCATTGGCTCAATGAGTGTTATAGTTCGTAAGTGCACAGGATCAACGACGGTTGTGGGATGAGGTGATTGCTGACCATTGGCTCAATGAGTATTGTAGCGAGTAAGTGCACAGGATCAACGACGGTTGTGGGATGAGGTGATTGCTGACCATTGGCTCACCGAGTGTTGTAGGTGGTAAGTGCACGGGATCAACGACGGCTGTGGGATGAGGTGATTGCTGACCATTGGCTCAATGAGTGTTGTAGCGAGTAAGTGCACAGGATCAACGACGGTTGTGGGATGAAGTGATTGCTGACCATTGGCTCAATGAGTGTTATAGTTGGTAAGTGCACAGGATCAACGACGGTTGTGGGATGAGGTGATTGCTGACCATTGGCTCAATGAGTATTATAGTTCGTAAGTGCACAGGATCAACGACGGTTGTGGGATGAGGTGATTGCTGACCATTGGCTCACTGAGTGTTGTAGGAGGTAAGTGCACGGGATCAACGACGGTTGTGGGATGAGGTGATTGCTGACCATTGGCTCACTGAGTGTTGTAGGAGGTCAGTGCACATGATCAATCACCCTTATAGGACGTGGTACTTGCTAAAAATTGCCTTCCCGAGTGTTGTAGTTGGTATGTGCACAGGATCAACTACTGTTTTAACCTTAGATGATTGCTGACCCGTGCCCGGTGCTTTTCATAGAACGTGAGTTACCGGGATCTGCCACCGTTGTTCAATTAGGAAATTGCTGATAACGAGGCTCTCCCTTCATTCAGGTTGTAAGCTGACTTTCCCGCTCTCCATCACTTGTTGTTCCAATTTACTGATCTATCTCTCCCTTTCTCATAGATTGTATGTACCCTCTAATACCCTGGTTGTCGTTTATGCCGCTGATTCCTGATTAACTTCATGTCCGCTTTCCTCCATAGGAAGTAAGCATCTCAAGTATCTGCATCACACCTCTTTATCACGCTAACTAAATCTCACTCTCCTGCATTAGTTTGTATGCAAGCTTCTCTCCTCTCTTCTACTAGTCTTCACTGATACTCACACGGCATGTTGCGACAGCTCGTTAGGAAATCCCCCCTCTCGGTTCCTACTTCTTTGGCTAACCCACAGCACTCCTCGCAATCACTTGGGAAACCCAGCTAGTGAGTAATATGGCTTAATTACTACTAACGCTCCTCCTCCACACAGGATATTTAGTAACCTTCTTATAGCAAGTAAGTCGCTCCTGTTTACCATGCGCACCCTTATTGCAGATTCTTATCGAACCCGTCGCAGTTTTGCATTCCAGATACGCCCGATCCCCATGAGGCTCGCTCCTCACCTTCCACCACCAGTTCAGCCACCGGTGAGTATTATATCCTATCTGTCTTTAGCCAATTCTTAAATGCTTTCTTAACATGTAATACATTAAGCGTCAACAATAGGTCATTAGTTGGGCGGTCCATCGTTCCTTTGAGATGTTTACTTAGTTAGTTTGTAGCTATGTTGGTTTTTTTGCTATTTTATGCCCTCAAGATATTTTCTATTGCGTGGTTTGATACTTGGATTATGATGCGGGAGGAATCCGTGGGACTCGGCTGAAGGATTTTTGTGTTGTGTTTGTCTCAATACAATAATATTATTATCATAATATATTCTATTCTCCATTGATACCGTGTATCACACTCTCTTAAGATCACTGCGCTATGCCCACCACCCAATATTTCACATTATTTCTTGCTTGTACGCAGTAGATCCCCATCGCCCACCAGAAACATTATATCCCTGGAAAGGCGGGTGGAACGCAAGAAATAAGCGGGAAGAGTTTTGCAAGCAAAGTGCTGGACCAATTAGGGCACCCGCGAGAAAACTCTAGAATGAGCCAACTGCTACGGGAGAAATTACCTACATTTGAAGTCTCGGGCTGTGGCCCTGATACTAAATTTCCCGTCCACATTTACAACCATAGTAGGAAAGAAAATAAAGAAAATGTCACATGGATCATAACCGACCTCATCACACAAGTAGTAGTCACCTGCCCGCACGGACCATCGCCGCGGTCCCCTCGTAAGTTAACCTCCGACGCCCGTATCGGCGAATCGTTGAACCAGGTGCATAGTATTATCCGCTACTTGTAAAAACAACCCTCGGGATGATTGCGATCTGTTATCCAACCCCACATGTAAGAAGAGTGATCGAACCCAATACCTAACAATAACCACAACCACCATAGGTATTGTGGGGGAGGGGGTAAGACTACAGCTGCAGGTCCACCACCCACCCTTTAACCAACCGATGTGCGCAGGAAGGTGGAGCTCCCTAGGATAGACAGCCCAGGACCCAGTGGGAGCGGATGGGACTAGTGGGGTTTACACAGTCCAACAACCCAGCGATACCGCATCTCACAGCAACCTTTCTATCGATGACAGACAACAAAGAGCGCCGAGTATGAATACCCGGCAGACAAACCCCGGGTCTATAATCCATAAACCTACCGGAACGAAACTTCATCGCTCCGTTCCATACTGTACATACTACAGTACCTGCCCCACCTCCCCGCATTCATTTCCTGCTCATAAACAAGTCTTCCTAAATAATTTACAGCACCCGTGATTGTCAACTCCGGATACACCCCCAGACCAGGACACCCATTCCATCATCGGGAAAATAGAGCAATGGGTAAAATGCGAGAGGCGTGCCCCAGCTAATTTGAACGCTCCCACGCCAGTGTGGAAGCATTTGTTTGATTTTCGTTGCCGACGGTATTTACGGCATTCGGCAGCGTTATCGCTTTCGAGCACTAGCAGAAAGTGCTTGTGGACTGTCGGATCTGCCCATTTTCCACTATTCGCATCGCGTGTGCTAGGCGAGTGATTCCCCATGAATCTCTAGCCAAGTCTATTCACTCGCTGCTCAGGGACTATGGGAGTCTACGGTTTTTTAGTAATAAGTCTTTAGACCCAACTAAGCTACGATAGATAACTCCTGGGTCGTCAAAGGTATCACAATACTAGTGATATCATTATCGTGATAAAAATATTCACAACCCCGAGCATACCACACAACTCTAACTCCCGTTCCCCCTCCCATACCCAAACCTGTATCATCGCCCAAGCAATCCCAACGCAAAGGCAAACACAGAACAGAGATCACGGGAAAGGGAAATAGTAAAAGTCCAACTTTTCGCACTATATGTAATTAAGCAAACTATCAAACACTGATATAAGAAATGAACGGAATGGAGTAGATGTGGAAGAAGAGTGAAAACTGAATATGATAGAAAAAAGAACCCTGAGACCAGTGCGACAGTCAAATGAGAAAGTATCATATGGAAGAAGGGACGGGAAGGAAAGGAGGCATAGGATGATGAATAAGTGAATGAGAGTGACCAGTGATACCAATGCAACGCAACGCGGATGCAAAAGAGTAAGTGGGGAGTGAAAAAAACAATGCCCCCCTGCGCCAATCTACGATACAAGCCCCTAACTACCGAGAAAAGGAAAGAACAGGGGCCAAAGAAAGAAACAAACACGTGAGCGCAGATTCCAAGAAAACAAGCCATAGACGATACGCCGCTGGAGCCCAAAACCGCCAATACCTATGCCGCCAATTCCCTCTCCACTTCGTACCACATATTCGCGCTAGACCTACCCATGGCTCATTTCTTGCTTCTCTCCTCTTCTACCCACTTTTGTATTTCGTGCACTAGTTTCTTCATGAACGACGGCTCAAGGATTCCCGCAGAGGATTCCGATCTAGCGCGTAGGTGTGGCCGGCCGCTCCTGGAGGGGAGAATGGGGGGTAGGTGATGGTCTCCGCCGCGAAGAATGAAACTGTGGATAGTAGTTATTCGAAGATTACCCTTTCTTCCTGAGAGAATGGGAGGTGGTCGGGGTAGCGGGGGTGGTGGTTGGTGTGCTCGGAGTGATGTGGGGTCAAGGAGGTGAAGGGAAACTCGCCGTTCGCGGAGCTGACAGGTCTCCACTTCTTGATCCGCAGAGGAGGAGGAGGAGGTCTTCGTGGATAACGTGCTAGATCTATTAGGCGCCGGATGTGCATGCAATGATTCCTTGGTAGGGCGGGGGTTAACAACCCAGTGCTTCTTCTTCCCGCGGGTCCGGATACACGGTGTTGATGCCCCTCCTCTAATACACACTGAGGGCGATGTAGCGAGGCTAGGTCTTGAGGAGGGGATATCCGCGGCCGAACTTATCGCCTAGCCAGTGTCCGTGAATGTGTATGTTCGTAGGCCATTAAGGGTACTTGGCATATCAACGCTCCTTTCTCTACCAGTAGAGCTGCTACCACTGACGGAGGCCCACACTCGGAATACAGCGTCAAAAGTATCTTAAGTGCGCATTAACAAGCTCTTCAGAGCCTCCATAAGCTCTCTCAATGAAATTAGGTTCTTTTGCAAGAATTAGGTGGATGGAGTGCCGAAGAAGTCGCTAGGTGGTGGGTTTGAGTGCCGTATTCACCCTATGTCCGCTCCTGTCCTCCAGCCAATCGCAGAAGATGTGCCCACATCATGAGCATTAAGACCCAAGGAAGCAGCATACTCGGGGTTCCATAATCACAGTGATAACCGATGAGCTGCAACTGTATTGCGCGGTTGCGAGTTAACATGTATCGGGTCACGAGCATTTCTGTTCGGCGGTTGTGTTACCCTACTTTTGTTTAGTCCTTGGTGGTCGCATGGAGGGAGAGAGGCATACTGATATGCAAAGTGAAAATCACTTCCATAATAATCCCGGTATTGATAGAAATTTAAACGAGGAAACAACGACGATTAGTAAGGCAACAATGCGGCTCCAACCACCAGCGCAAGACTTCGTGGGGAAGTTCGCTCATTCTCATCCCACCCTCTCACTCTCTCTGCTCAATCACTCAACTCAACTAAATGGTACCGACAGGAGTATACCCAAGCGGCCGGATCTAAATCAGAAGCCTCTTTCCCATTTCTCGCTTAGCCACCTTCTGATTTCAATCCCTACGAATATCGTACACTCGAGTATATGAATTGCAACAAAAGCACCCTCCATCTTTCCATCGACAACCACCATAACCACTCTTTTCCACGCAAGTCCCCCTTTCCTTAGCGCACTCTTAGACCAACAAAAGCAAGACAGGCTTCATAAAGCTCCCACTATTCGTAGCCTCAGCTCCGTCCCTTCGACTCTCCCATAGTGCTTGTAACGGATTCATGATTTAATTCGGGCGGATGCCATCTCTTTTCATATATGCGCTAACAAGATTTAAATAAGGGGTAGGTAGAGCAGCCAATAAAGGACACAAGAGCTGAAAATTGCAATAAATAGCATGATGGTATAATACTTGATATACAATTTTATTTGCCGATTGCCGAGCCCTTCCTAAGTCCAAAGTTTCCACTCCCGGTAGCCCAGCAGGAATCAACCAGAATCGCGAGCAAGCATATGTTGGAGGCTCCACTCGTGCCAAGGTTTTGTGGCTACTCTTCGCAACCTACCGAGCCCCTCTTCTGCCCGCAGCCGTACGGTACATTTAAGCGAAAGCATTATTAGAGCTGTCTTACATGATGAGCCAGTTGCGGGATACTCAGGATGACATTCTGTAGATAAAACCCTAGATAGACAACTATATTTTCAACAACAAGGTTTACAGCAGCGATTTGGACAATGTTGACTCAACTTGAATGGCTGGGCAAAGATGTAAAGATCGAATTTGAATATTCAAACCAGAGAAATATTCTCATGAAGAAAATAGGGAATAATAATGGAAAGACTGACTTGACCCAAATACAGGTAACGGAGGAAAGAGAGACATATTGGACGATGAAAGAGAACATGTAACCGGTATGGGTACTCGGTTAAGGATTTTTGTTTTATGTTTTGTTTTAAGTATCATTTTGATACTTAAGTTGTTTTTGCCAAAGTGTATTTCTTGGTACCTTTGATTGGTTTCATTCATGCTAGACATGAACAGATTTGTGTATTTAAAAGACTGCCTGATTCCACGATGGAAAAGGCAGACTTCGACAGACAGTATTTCAATATACTTGGTTGAACGGTTACTCTTTAGTTTTCCCAGTGCACCTTCAAAGGCTTCTTTAGTTTGCAGCTCTCATCTCCTCTCTGGTAGAGCAGGCCACTTGTCAACTATTGTACCTTACCCTGAAACATGATTAGCACATTGTAAACACATTACACAGTGTGTGAACTAGAATGAATGAAAAAAGAGGCTATTAGGGACCGTAAAAAAAAAAAGGAAATCTATTTTCCAAGAACTAAAGTGATCAGTAAAACAGATCAACTCGTCTCACAGGGTCAGAGGCTGGTGTGGTTGAGAAAATGTATTTTAAAATAGAAAAGTTGGAAAAATCTGATATTGAGCCGAATCTGACATTGAGCTGTTAGGCATGTCGTAGACGTGCTGCAAAATTTGCAACTGCTCGCAGTTTCACAACTGGCAGGAACCTTGGCACGGTTATATAAAAGCCAGTTTTTCATATAACCGTACAGTACAATACAGGTCCGGGTAACATTCCGCACCAGCTGACGGGGCCAAAACGTTGGAACAGAGTCAGCTGACACTGACCAAAATTCATATATTTTGGGACAGCACAGATAATGCTGACAGTTGACCGTCCTAACTGGTATAGGTACTACAGTATTACCCTTCCTCTTTGCTTGATAGTTTGTAATACTTGATTAGCTACTACGGAAAGGGTAAACGGTGTTTGCTCGGTTGCTGCCTATTCCGGTTTCTAGGTTTGAAAACATTTCCGCAGTCACTGGTACGTACACCACGCAATTGGAAACAATTTTTTCTTTCTTTCGAATAGTTCTGAGGGTGACATTGCGCACTTGAACGTTCTAGGTTCCAGAAGGGGGAGGAACCCACTGAGTAAATCTCTAGAGACCCCCTAACCCAGAAAGGAATGTCAACATAGTCTTCTGGCCAGGGTTCGCACCGTCTTAGCCACAATGCGACTCCGGGCAACGGGAGGTGTAGATTGCTATGATATATGGCACGATATGGCAATATTTACCACGGCAAACACAGGGCAAGTCAAGATACTATAATTTAGAGATATATGATATAAGACCAAATCAATCTGCCGGTCGCCGATATGCAAAGCACTGTAAGTTACTGAATAAGTAGGCTAGATCAACACAGAACACCTGCACGAAACTCCACAAATACCTGTATATCCGACAAGAGGACAATTTCAACCTTGTTTTCGGGAATAAGTTACTTGTGTCGAGATCGTTGATAGTCGCTGCAGCCAAGAAAACACACTAGCTAGTAACTGGGGGCACTTCAACAGAAAGCTCAGCATAAGCTTAGTCAAGTAAAAGACGGTGGTAAAAAAAAAGTGCGAAAAAAACAAACAGAAAATTGAGAAATAGTTTTTTCCAGAGTTGGCTGGAATGCTTGTTCTAACGGAGTAACCGTCTTTCTAAGCTGTGGTAGCAGTTTATTTGTATAGCTTGACAGCACAACTTACCGTAGCTTAGTGGCTTAGTATCAGCTTGTAGCTCAATGTCACTTTGCCGCTCAACATTACTTTAGACTATAGCTCAACATGATACTGTACAGTACAAGTGCAATCGAAAAAGTGACTTGGTGAATATAATTTTAGCAAAAATTGCAGATTTCATCTCCAGATATTATGCTAGAGAAATTTACAAGAACACAAACTATCCACAGAATCACTGCCAAGAGCGGGGATATACTTCCGATATACGGATGTTCATTCAATTAGCACCTTCTTATCATATGCTGTCGGACTCTTTACTACTGCGAAAACACTTGCTTTTCCACTAACACCATAGTCTTGACGCGGTTTTGGTGCAAGTTTTGTCAACTTACTACCATACTCTTGAGAGAATTTAGGTTCATTTGGGGTTATAAGAGAAGTCAAGTAGCCTACAAATTTTCTGATTACTCTATGAAGTTATCCTATTTCCAATCCCAGTATTGGGTTTGGAATAAGTGTGCAAAATTTGCCATTTTTGGTTGCAAAATCGCTTGTGCCAGCGTCCTTTTTTCACAGCAAGTGACATGACGTTGAGGCTGTAAGCTGATGTTGAGTTGCAAGGTGGTGAGCCACAAAATGCTGTCGAGCCACAAGGTTAAATTGAGCTGCCAAGTCGCGGGTACCGTACAGTAATCAAAATGAAAGTCTGATTCCATACACCCTACCCTATTCTTGGATATTTGATCGGGAGTCTGCCCCGAAGTTCGCAAACTTCTAGGTTTCCACTTAGAATTCAGGGTTTTTACTCTCTTTGACAACACTAATCTAGCTATACCAGGGACAGAATAGTAAATAGGGTATCCAAATTGTCCCATTGTATTTTATGTCAGTACACACTGCCCCAAGTAAATTTACCCAAAATTGTTGGTCAGCAATTCATGCCCGAGTCTGCACCAACTGGTATGGGTATCATACTACAGTAGATTACCGAGGTGTGGTGACAGACAAGGAGGAAGAAAAAACGTGAGCAATTGTCAATACCAAGCGAAGGAAATTATCCTTCATATTATTAACTACCCAAGAAACCCCACTAGTAATGTCCCCATTGATTTGTTCCCGATATCCATTCATTGATGGGCGCTCATTTACCATTCTCACAGACCATCGACAGAAGTCGCGAACGAACTGCCTCCATGTAGTAGAATAGTTGCATATGCGGAGGGAATTGCGCTCCGGTGTGAGAAATTGTAGATACAAATCCTTCCGGAGATAAATTGAAGATTGAGCGAACATTGAAAAATGTTCGCTAGACGGTAACTTATTCCATATAAGGTCCAAATCAGGGGTAGAGGAGCCAAGAAGTGACATGAGGGAAGTAGCTGAAAATTTTGGTGAATAGTCTAAAGCACTCAGTATTTGACCCTACTTTCCCATTGCCAAGCTCTCTTAGAGCCTGAAGCTTCCGCTACCGAAACCTAGTAGGAATCAACCGGAATCTTGACCCGGCGTGTGTTGGAGGTTCTAGTATTGGAGGGCGGTTTAAGGGAGGGCAAAGGAGAGTAGGAACATTTTACCAGTGTACTGTACCCGCTGGGCC